CAACTTTAAAGGCTGATTCACATACAACTTTCTTCGCTTTGCTTGATAGTTCTTTGCTTTGACATATAAGATCGATGTAGGCATATGCATGAGTATGCTCACATAAAAAACGTCTTGGGCAACTCTTAACTTTTGCCCGCTTTGGCAATCAGCTGTCTACATTTATGTATCTTTTCTCGTGCGCTTGTATTTGCATTTAATGACAAAAATAGGGTAAATAGGAATTTTTATTGCTATTATTAATGCATATAATTATATTGTTATCTATTTTACAGATTAAAAATATGGAGGTAAAGGAGAACGCAAAAGCTGTCAAAGAGTTTATTGTAGCATACCTTCTGCGTTTCACGCTTTGTGGTTAAAGTTTGAACTGTCAAGCAAAGCGAGGAAAGTTGTATGTGAATGGCCCTTAAGGCGCTTAAAGCAAGTGAAGCAAAGCTGCCATTTGGCCACGCTTCATACGTTTTAGGTCGGTGTTATGCAGAAATTTTGTTTGGCAAACTGCGTGCAATTGTTGTTGCAGCAAACTCGGAGAGAGCGAGTTTGGCGACTCTCACAGCAAACTAATTTTGTTTGGTCAAACTGCAGCAAATTCGGTGTTGTCATATACAAAAATTTTAAATTTTGCGCGTTATGTACATCTGAAATTCTCATTTCGTGTTGGCAATAGCCAAGAAAACCATAATGAACGTGCAACCCTGTGCCAAACTCGACATAACCACCTCCGAGCAAACTAAGCAGCCGCCATTTAATTTGGCAAACAAAAGTTTGTCTGCATAACACCGACCTTAGTATATCCCAAATAACTTTTGACAGTTCTCAAAGCGAAGCAAGCAAAGCAAGTCTGCATTGGGCCAGTACCTTTAGAGCGAATTGAAGCATCATATAAACATGGTAATTGAAACATGACATAGAAAATTAGGACACCTAAAGGCTGGTATGCAGCTCTCAAGAAAACCATCAAGAAAAACATTGCCATTATTTCGTGTGTGTGTCCAAGGAATTTTGTCAACTGATACTTCAGCAGCCTGTTGGCTCGCTCTTTCCTCAAGAAATAATGGAACGGGCATATATTCCTGTTGCAAGCATGGGTTGCCTTGTGCTCTTTTTTCACAAAAAACTTTAGAAAACCGTAGTAGAAAGCGTAGCAAATTTTTTAAGAACTGCGTACTGCCTCAAGAAAATTTTACACCTGAAAATTTCTTAAGCATTTCTTGTACGTCATTTTGTATGGAATTTTTACTTTTCTTGAGAACTGCATATAGGCCTTTAAGGCAGTACGCAGTTCTAAAGAAATTTGCTACAATTTCTAGTAGGGCTTTCTAAAGTTTTTTTGCGAAAAAAGAGCACAAGGCAACTCATGTAAGAAAAATATATGCCCGTTCCATTATTTCTTGAGGAAAGAGTGGAGGCGAAATTAGTCAACGACGTAGCTTAAACGTACGTAGCAACATATCAAACAAGGCGAATTTATACAAAGTGGTGTTACTGGCGAATTTAGATTTTTGCGCGGTACTTCCTAATGTCAAAATGATGTGCGTGTTGTAAACAAGACGAGTTTATATTACAACAAACACATCATTTTGACATTAAGAAGTACCGCGGCGAAAATCTAAATACGCCAGTAACACCACATTGTATAAATTCGCCTTCATATCAAATTTGCTCTTGATAGAGAGAGAGAGAGAAGCAACGGCAACGCCACCGTCATGCGGTGGTGAATTTTCGTCAAATTCCGTCAGCGTAGCGTAAGAACGAAAGAGGGTTGCTAGTTTTTTGGGTTAAGAAACGCTTTCCAGCAGAAATTAGTGATAATTAACTGTTAATAAACGAAGCTATTTACTTGCAGCGTGCAAGTTTCATTTAATAATTGATTGTACGAACCAGGGATGATAAAGTAGGTACAATTGTACCTTTTTCCGGTGTTTGAAGACTTAGGGCCGGTTACTCAATGTCTGGCACTAATCTGCGGTTAAACATCGTTATCGATGCCTTCGACTCCATGCATACAACAGGGAGTCGGTAACGTCGATAACTATGCTTAACCGGAGATTAGTGTTAACAGACATTGAGTAACCGGCCCTTAAAGGTACATTAGGTTCAGTCACTAGATTTTCGGTAGATACAATCATCTTTTGATCAGATGCATTTTTAATTTAATTTTGCTTTTTGCTTTACCGTGCAAATATATTTACTTGTAGGCACTAGGGTTTCCAGATTTTTTTATGCCCGAAATCAGTACGTTAGACTTCTTCATGCTAAAAAAATCAGTTCTTTTCAGTACATTTTTATTCAAAGCTAAATTATGAATGTAAGTAACAGATAATACTTTAAAACGCCAGAGTACTTGTTTTTAACCAAATTTTAGTATATAAATAAAATATAGCTCATAAAAAATATAAGTGTTATTTACTTTAACATGAGTGTACACATCATTGCATACAGAAGCCAATAAATTATTTTATATTTATGAAATTGTTGAATAGCAATAATGAGATCATTTCCGCCTTCAGTGTTTAAGTAGTCAAAGAATTCTATACATTTCATTTTAAAATTATTTTTTATTTGCAGTTCACTCTATGTCCTGTATGCAAAAATTTTTTACAATTTCAGTAAATTGTTAAAAAGGAATTGTAAATTATAGGCAGTTCATACTAAAATTTGTTGTTATGAAACTGAAACTTATTTTCGAGATAACTAACAACGCTCGACAAGAAAACGTCAGCCTTATTTTTAAATAATTTAGGCTCCATCATATTATCGCAACTGGTACGCAACGACCCGGCGATATGCCCATAAAAGGATTCATATTTTTGTTGTATTAATTTCTTGGACATACTAAACCCTATCTGAAACATGTCAACTATAGTTAAATTATTTTCTTTTTACTTTTTACAGTACAGTTTAAGGAAGTTCCAACGTTATGTAAAAACCTTAAGAAATTCCTAAAGTATTTCGTTTGAAGTAAAAATTCAGTACAAATCAGTAGAAATTTTGAAAAATCAGGACATTAGCGTACTGATTAAAGAAATGAATAAAATCAGTACAAGAGTTGAAAAATCAGTACTGTACTGATAAAATCAGTACGTCTGGCAACCGTGGTATGCACGGGAGAAGCTTCGCCAAGCTTCGCTTTCATTTTGACGAATAAATAATTCTAAAGAGAAGTGATCAAAAGGAAGAAATTAAAAAAGTCATATTATATATTATCTTAAACATTTAACATTGCATTTAGAGCAGCCACTGGGAAAAATTAACACTTTATTTAGCTATCCTCAAATTAGTAATTTTTTTCTATTAAGTTAAACGCTTATTTTCACTAAGTCAAATTCAATGCGATTTGCGGCCAATTGAGTGAAAACAAATTGTCAAATGGGGCTAAAAAATGGTCTTTTTGATTGATTGAGATCAGAATAGGCCCTCAGATGTGTACATGCGCTGCTAAAGCGGCTATTTGTAAGTTTTTGGCCCATAATATCATCGATAGAATTAGGGATAAAGGAAAGAAATATGTCGACAAATTTTGTTGTCAATATATGACATAATAAAAACCAGCCTTTATTCGCCCATACAGCCCAACGCCTAGGATGTCTTCAAATTTCGTATTTTCTTTAGATGAGAACTATAGCTATTTGACCCATATTCGCTTTTGTTTTCTGGAAATATATTTAAAATACGTTCGAAGTTACTTATACTAGGTTCACATATAAGTAGATTATCTTCATTTTCGAGCTTAACACCCTAATCTGTAATTATAACAAGGGATTAGCCATATAAAATTCGTCCCTTGTTAATCTGTAATTATAAAATAATCTCAGATTTAACCGATAACTTTTCGGTGTCCATCCTAGTTTTATCGATTGTTTTTGCGAAAGAGAGGAGAAATGCCAAAATGTAAAAGCAAACAAAAATGTACGCTAGCAAGTAAAAGAGGTTTGTAAAGGTATTTTTAATAAAATGTTAAGTTAAAATATATTTATATTGCTTATTATAGCAGAAAAACGTGATCACGGTGGCACAAAGAAGGAAAAATAAATTTTCCTTGACATGTGAGAATAACAAGCACAACAAATTTGACGGCTAATAATCTGAGATTTGCCTGTGTAAACGGGGTGATTAAAAAACGAGCTTTGATTGAGATAATATTGATATGTGAACATAGTTTTACGGCAATTTGATTATATTCTCTAGACTTCGCAACTTTTTGTTATCGATAAGTTCCATTTTCCACATCGTTTCCAGCATTCTTAAAAGCCATCCCTTGAAGGTACGCAATAATTATCGCGCATGTATCGTCCGCACCAAATCGTTAATCTTCGTTGCTTCGATAAATTTTCGTTGCCCAAAACGGAGATAGGTATAAAAAATAGTGAATTAAACAAATAAAATCAACATACAAAGTTAATTATAGGATGCCAAAAATATTGCAAAATATAATGGGCATAATCAGAAATAAATTTAAACTAAGCTAGCTTGTTATTTATGTTAATTTTGCCATTTACTTTTCATTCCACCGTCTCACCGGCAACCGATTTGAAACCGCAAAAATTTTCGGATTTGCGAATGCAAAATTGTAATCGTAAATTTGCGATTTGAAAAGTAAAACGCAAAATATTTACGTTTCTGAAAATGGGAACACGGCTGATGAATGTTGTAACTTTTTTAGATACAATCTGTCTCATTTAGGTACATTTATTTTTTGATATTAGCAAAGAACGTAAATCTATAAGAAGAGACAACACGTTATAATTGTAGCGAGTGTTAACATCAGGAGCGCGCCTTCTCTTTTGCCCAAATACGTTTTTTGATTGGATGAAAAGAGAAGGCACGCTCCTGATGTTCACACACGTGTTGTCTCTTCTTATAGATTTACGTTCTTAGATATTAGGTACAACCTGTTTAACCCATTTTTCAACTAGTACGAACCCGAGGTATTTCGGAGTCGGTTGCAATAATTAGGACAAAAACAGAACAAGAGGAACTCTGGCAACACTAAATAAGCACATCGAACAGAACTAAATAATACAAGGCGAAAAAGTATATGGACGGTAGAAATATATTAAAAATAAAAGGTTTAGCTGTATCTACATTAAATTGTCGAGATTACTGGGAAAATAAATTGGACTAAGGATTCGTAACCAATTATGCAGAAGAACAAAAGAACGCGTACATCAGAGGAAAGTGCTTCCATTGTTTATGGAGTGCTCGATGGCGGCCAAAATAGAAGTACCAATTGTAAAAGCACAACTTTTTTGTAATTTCACCCGTACTTCATAACATAATACCTATAAATATTCTGTGCATTACAGGTCAGAAAGGAAACAACAGAAATGTTCTTCCAAGGGGGGCAAAAGGAATAGCACAGCGACGCAACCGACATCCGCTGCTTTCTGAAGATGGTGCTTCCAGCGGGCAACGGATCTATAATAACACAAAATTGTGTGTTATATGCGGGAGCAGTGAAGAAATTGTTGATTTATCGACGAATCCAATAATGAGGAAAACGATGGCATCCTATTGTGGGAATGATAATTTGGTGAGTAAAGTAGTTGAAGTTTGCAAAATTAAAATAAAGGCCACTGCGTTTATACTATTAACTCGCCAGCCACCGTGGTCCGCGGCTTCGCCACGGACGATCCAATATAAAAAAAAGTTCAAGCCCCAAGATTTATTCATACATGTATGTAAAAAATAAAATTTGGGTTAACTTCGCTATAATGCAAGAAAAAGCTCGCAATTAAATGAAAATGGTAAAGCGTACCGTTGAAACGGTACCATCGTATGAACAAAAGGTAAATAAAAGAATTTAATAACATAACTTTTCGAAAGTAAATGCATATACTAGACGAACAAACAAATCGAATTTCGACTTGTGTTTATTTTCTACACACAATTTTTCCTTCTGCCCAGCAAACATTGAGGTTAGTTATCGATTAGAGAATGATTGGAGAACTAGCCACATTCTCCAATATCAAACGTTAGAGAACGATTCGAAAAACTATCGAGAATCATAGCGATCTCGACACCCAAGCTGCCTTCATGGCTCCCCGGAGTTCACCTGAGCAACATAACCCCAACACGACAACCTTCCAACATAACACAGGCAACCACACCCCACCTGCATACACGCCGCCGCAAAACACGGGCGAGGATAGGTAGTTCTAATATTGGAAAATGCATTCGACTTTGAAAAAATAGATATGTGCTCCTTAGTGTAAATAAATATTTTAAAGATTTTCCCTGTAATTTTCTTTAAAGTAATATATTCAAAAATTTGATGGAGCTATGGAACAATAATTTAAACATGGTAGAAGTTATAGCTGCTATTTCTGAGATCTTCACCGATGATCATGATGAACTGCAAGTTTCAAGCTGTTAAAAAATCCCGTTGATTTTTGGCAATTCTTTTGTCCCGGTGTCTTCCATATATAAGAAAATTGTTGAACATATCCACCTTCAACCAAAAAAATTCTCAAAAGTCAGGGATTTTCTCCAACTTAAAACTTGCACGACTTAGACTACAATGGGCTACAAAACTGCATACCAAATATTTTTCTTAAGATTTTTTTAAATTTTGGTGAAACCATGATACAAATATTTAAAGGTAAAACCGCTCGCTCAATTCGTCCGCCATTGGGGTTTTTAATGTTTGCTAGTATTTTGAGTTTACTCTCTCGAAATAATTCAAATGTCTAATAACTTCAAAATAAATAAGCGGTACGTTACCCAACAAACAAAATAAACGTAAAGCAAGTTTTTTTAAGTTTTCAATTATAAACATTAAGCTTACAAAACGTTGATTTTTTGTTTGTAAAACGCTTGAAAGTAAGCGTAATATAATCGAAAAGGAACATTGGTTAAAAGCGTAGAAATAAAAACTTGTCATAAATGTTCAAAAGAAAGCTTTTTATAAGCGTAAAAGTGTAAACTTATAATAAAGGTTGAAAAAAGTTGTTTATAAGCGTATGAATATAAACTTACTAAAAATTTTCAAAAGAAAGCTTTTTATAAACATTTTTATAACCCTTTATTTAAAGATATTTCATTAAAAACTCATACATAGATTGGTTAACATCTAGAAACTAAACGAAATGCGAATTTTCGGCGAACTCATCTACAGTCGCGAAAATATAAATAGGGAATAGACATTTAACCATACACATAGACATTTTACGATGACACACAAAAATTAAGCATAAAAAAGTTAATTATTATATCTTGTTGCGTGATTCCAATTACATGCGGTTATTGGCAAATTGGAAAAATGACATCGATGCAGCTATATATTCCGCTTCATCGCCGCCATTCTCATTGACGAACTTTTCTGAAAAAAATTTAATACATTTTTAATTGAATGTTAAAATAAGAAAGGATAAGGAGAACTCAACATTTGAAGACTCGAATGCTCCACCGATTAGCGCAGCGGGTCCTGGATTGGATTTTTTTTTACCGCATCGGTTTTATCTAATTTTTCTTTTAATAATATATTTAAAAAACGTAAACACGTCACTTACGATTGAAAAAATGTTATATTTACTACTTCATGTCGTTGGCATTTGCATTTTATTTATAAGTTTAAGTTATTTATAAACATTCGCTCTCAAAACTTATTAAAGGTTTATTTGAAAAAACTTTTAATAAGCTTAATATTAAAAATAAATATATAAAATATTATAGCAAACTTACTTTAAGTTTTTTTTTAAACATTTACTGAAATGCTTGTTGGATACACATTCAATTTTCCCCTTTCAATTTTCAATACACTCACAGTTTTTCACAAACACACTCTTATTTATTACTTGAATGGGCAACTTGCTTTCAATTTTTCCCTTTCAATTAAGTTCAAATTTTTTTTTAAACCGGGATGGTAATCATTATAAGTTAAAACATATTAATCAACATTTAATTATTATTATCCGATTTTTATTTTTTTAATCACAAATAATAATTATTTATTGATTTTTACTTTTTTGCTCGAATGTAATTATTATTATATAATTTATATTTTTTTGCTCAATAATAATGATAACTTCTTGATTTCTATGGTTTTGATCGAGAATACTGATTATGTTGCGATTTTTATTTTTTCGCTCAGGAATAATACTCAGCTTCTGAGTTTCGATTACTTGTGATTTTTATTTTTTTCGCTCAGGTATAATGATTATCTTGCGATTTTTTATTTTTTCGGCTCAAGAATAATGATTGACACCCGATTTTTATTTTCTTTCGCCAAACATAAAACTCAAAACCTTATACAACCAAGACCATAAGAGCTGTTGACTTGAACCTTTATAATAGCATAGCTTTTATCTTGTGTTATCTTCCTATAAAAACGAAACGTTTGAAATTATAAACTTGTAGGCGGAAAATTGGTATGGAAATGAAACAAGTTCGTTTTCATGCCGTGTGCATGTGTCATATCTACATAGGCATGTACATACTCATGCACGTTGCACCAACTAGATTAAAAATTTGATTTTTTCTTTACTTTCGTAATTATATTGGAAAATAAATGTGTGTGTGACTTCAAAATCAAATTGCTTAAAAAACGTCATAAATGCGCGAAACCAATAACACGAAATATACACGAAACAAAACTTAATGTAGGTTGTAGGTAGGATCAACTACAACATGAAAATAGGTTTCCTATAGTTCCTGAAACCTCCATTTTTATTTTTATTAAAATAACCGGCCGCTTAAAATTGTCGGCCGCTGTAGTGTAGTGGTAAGCAGTGCGCGCTTCCACTTCGCAGCACCTGGGTTCAAGCCCTGGTCAAAGCAACCTCGCAAGGAAAAAAAAAAAGGTTTTTTGTTAACAGCGGTCGTCCTTCGGCAGGCAGTGGCAAACCTCCGAGTGTTTTTCTGCCATGAAAAACAGCTTCTCATAAAAATACAATCGCCGTTCGGAGTCGGCGTAAAACTGTAGGTCCCTCCGCTTTGTGTGACAACATCAAGGCGCACGCCACAATTCGGAGGAGAGCTCGGCCAAACACTAACATATGTGTAAGCGCCAATCTATTATATTATTATTATTAAAATAACCGTTATTTTAATACTATGCACTTATCTAATAAAAGCTTGACTAAATATTCTTCATCCGATTTTGAAAATCAAACATGGTTTGAAAAAGGAATTTATGTATATACTTTTAAAATGATGTATAATAATATATTGTTAGACATATAGACTTAGCTTGTTGGTACTTAGTTTTCATCGGATAAAATTTAAAAACTCCTATTTTTATACCCTAGCGCACTTGTTTGCAAGGGTACTATAACTTTGTTCGCATAACGCTTATTTGTAACAGCCTAAAAGAATCTAGATAGATATAGACAAATGTATACATACATAAATGCTTAGAATGAAAAGAGAAGTCGATTAAGCCATGACTGTCTGTCTGTACGTCCGTCCGTCCGCCCGAAAACACGATTACTCGAGCAAAAATTGAGATATCTCAACGAAATTTGGTATGTAGGTTGCCCTTCACCCGAGGTAGGTTGGTATTGAAAATGGGCGAAATCAGACTGTATCCTCTCCCACTTCACTTCAAAAATGGAAAAACTACGATATTTCAGTAAATATTGGATCCAAATTGTTGAAAATGAGTATGTGCAGTAGAATTTTGATAGAAAATAGTATCATTATGAAGGTTCTGGAAAATGGGCGTAACCTCGCCCCGTGATGAAATGCCGTATCTAAGTAGCCGTTTCAGCCTTCCTTACCAAACTCAGTACCACTTTACTATGGGTCTAGCTTTTGAAAATCTCTGAAATCGGGCAACAACTACGCCCACTTTCCATATAATAGTAATTTACAGAAACAAAGAAACTTGGATAAATCAGTAACTACTGAAACTAATTATCCTAAAATCCATGATTGCAATAGCCACTTATAAGAAAATTAGATTCATATAAATTTCTGGATAATGGGCGTGGCGACGATTTTCAATAGGTTCCCCTAAGAAGTCCTGTAGACGAATAAAGAGAGGGAGGTCATTGAGTTCTTTGGTCTTTGATCTCTCTAGTAGGAGAGGTGGGAGTCGCCAAGCCCCTCAATTTTTTTACCAGCCTGAAATTCAATTTTTTTTTTTGGCAAACCGTAGGTCAATGTTCATCAAAAAAGGAAGAATGGAAATTCGAATATCTATTCAGCAGAGCTGTGTAATGATTGAATCAATTGAGTGTGCATTCTCATTGTTTTCGTTTCAAAAATGTGATTGTTTGATTTAAAAAATTGAACCACCACTCTTGAGATTGGTTATAAATTGTAAACACAAAATATCTAGTGTGTTATGGAATGGTTGACACCCATTCACATAGAGAATGTGAATGCAAAAAATCTGTCATTATCATTCAGTAATAATACTATTTGTTGTATCAGGGTCGAGATTTTTGTACTCAAAATGTGAAACCAGAAGATTGCCAACTCCCTTAAAATAAGTAATCAAATAAATATTTGGTGCTAAAATATTTTTCTAAGTGATTGGCCGAGCTTCCGCTCAAACCTGAGGCATGAATTCGGTTGTTGTGGCACAAATGGGGACACATATGTACATATTTAAGGCTCACGCCGAACACCAAATGATTTTATAAGAAGTGTTTTCAAGGCAGAAATATACTCGAAGGTTTGCCATTGCGCGCCGAAGGACGACTGCTGTTTTGGGTTATGATCTATGGAGTGGAAGTACGCACATGTAATCACTCTGCTACGGCGGCCGCCGTAAGTACATGCTATACATATCGTCGTTTAAAGTACAAAACTGCGTATCAAGAAAATGCAAAACCGCGTAATTGCATACATCATTTTCTAGAGAGTAAAATCACCTATATTTCAAA